AATTAAACTACTGGATCAGCTAGGAAACATTTACTAAAACTACTGGATCAGCTAGGAAACATTTACTAAAACTACTGGATCAGCTAGGAAACATTTAATAAAACTACTGGATCAGCTGGGAAACATTAATTAAAACTACCGGATCAGCTGGGAAACATTAATTAAACTACCGGATCAGCTGGGAAACATTTACTAAAACTACTGGATCAGCTAGGAAACATTTACTAAAACTACTGGATCAGCTGGGAAACATTCACCAAAACCTGCAACTACAAACTCACACAGCGAAGAACTCAGGGCTGAGTAAACAGTCAGAACCGAACAATATGAAACTATTTTTCATACCCTTCAGTTGTACTGGTTACTTCAGAAACTCCCAAATTGGATGACATTGAAACAGTTGAACATTTTATCTTAAGTAATTCATTAGTCTACCAAAATATTTGCCAATATTTTCTCCCCCAATTTATAATATAAATATTAAGGTGGCCTCATAAATGTTGCATCAGGTGTGGCCAAGAGAATTTTGATAAAATTACACGTACTTCGATAAACATCTACTATACAAGGTGAAACTGCATATAGGCCTAGAGAGTAACTCCGAATAAAAAAAATAAACTTCTGGTTACAGAATAAATAAATTCACAGCTTTTAAAAATATTTATGGCTATCCTATTTATAAATATTGACTTCACCTTATTCTTACTTTACGTTTACCTAAATATCACAAATTGAAAAACAAAAAAGTAACATTTCGTAATTCCTGTTCCAAGTTCGGACGATACATGAACGTAAGGTCATCAACATACATATTCAACAGATTATAAGTTGGTTGGTTGTTAAGCACAGACTACACGATTCACTGCCCTCCATAGGTATCGAAAACTGATATTTAGCATCTTAAGCCTCTAGACTTATTGCTGAGCCATTGGGTGGCATGAGTTATGTGTGATACCTGTTATGCAGCCTCTAGACTTATTGCTGAGCCATTGGGTGGCATGAGTTATGTGTGATACATGTTATGCAGCCTCTAGACTTATTGCTGAGCCATTGGGTGGCACGAGTTATGTGTGATACATGTTATGCAGCCTCTAGACTTACTGCTGAGCCATTGGGTGGCATGAGTTATGTGTGATACATGTTATGCAGCCTCTAGACTTATTGCTGAGCCATTGGGTGGCACGAGTTATGT